TTTCCCTTCAACATTTCTCAGGTAGGTGAAGGTTTTATTAGCTACAGAGTACACTACCAGAAAGACTGAGCATTCTTTTGAAAAAGAAGCTGGTAAAAAGTTTATACATTATAAAGTTACGGTGATAAAACCTCGTAAAAATCCCAACAGCTTTGGTCTTACTAGCTAGGAAGAAAAGCAAGGGCATGGAACGCCTCAGTTTGGCGTTATGCCTGACACAAATTTGAAAATGGGGTGTTGAGGAAACCCATGAAAAGCTCACTTCTCAAGTAAGGTGGCAATGGAAACAAACACTGTTTGTGTGCACTAAACAAAATTGTGTATATTTTTTTTATCCTAGTAACAATATAAAAGCCCATCCCTTAGTCTGTGGAAGAGCTCTTACAGGTGCAGACCAGTCACTGCTGAAAGCACCAAAAAAAAAAAAAAAAAAAAAAAAAGGAACTGTTGGTTATGTCTTAAAAGGATGCTGTTAAAGTATCTTTAAAGGATGCTGTTAAAGTGCTGTAGGGCTTCAGGGGGTCAAAAGATGCCTGGGGGAGTTCTAGAGGAAAATCCTACAATGAGAATAGTTAAGAAGGAAAATATTTCCCAGTTTTCTTATTTCTTCAGGATATTTGAGTTAAAGAACAAAAATCTTACTGTTCTTCACTGATACTGACTGGCATTGCTAACCAAAACACTGAGCCTCATGGTCCTGCCTTAAATACTGGAATTTAAATTAAACCAGCCTCCATTGAGTCTTCCCACCTCCACATCAGTCCTCTCAGTTACATCAGTGCAATCACTTTGAGTGGCTCCAAGACAAACCATATCAGGGAACTCATTTGGGTTAAACACCATCTTTTGGTTTAATTCTATTATTTTAACCCAGCTCAGTTCCCTGTTCAGTTAGCCACACATGCAGCTGTGCCCACACAAGGAACAGCACAATGCAAAAGTGGGAACAAACAGCTGGAACTGCTAAGAAAACACGATTGTCACAGCACAGAATAAGGCTCAGTTGGGTGCACTCCCTAGTGGAAATATTTAAAAGCAGAGCAGAAGATGTTGTTAGGCTATGAAAACATAAATATGGCCAATTACTGGCAGGACAGTGGGACCAGAAGTCACATCTCTGGCACAGCAGGTAAGCAAAATTATGAGTTCTTCCCAAAGTATAGCCTGCAATGTGTAAAGGACCCAGCGTTTCACAAACTGCAGTGCAGTGAGCACACACGGTTTCCTCCTGGAGCAAGTTCCCAAAAACCTTCTGCTTGCATAACCTTTCACTCTTGTGAAATGTAGAAACCTGTACATTTCTTGTAATTTACAAACATTAAAGTCAATTCACCCAAGTTACAAGAGGAGAAAGGGTTATCTAGGAATGTTGTTTATATACCATCCAACCATCTTAAGACTTCCATTTCCACTTTTTGTGCAAAGGAAATAAACAGTGAGCATCCTGTCCAATCACTACTCTGAATTACCGGCTTCAGAACATGATCCACCTTCTCCATTTTTTCTTAATGCTATCTTATTGGAGGTATAAGTTTTATTTTTAGACAGAATCTTAGTAAACTGTGGTTACATTGTTACAATTTAAAAATGCAGGAATACAAAAATTTCAGCTTGTTTTCTTTTGGCTGATTCAAAGTCATACCAAAGGGACTTTCTCCACAGTCCACATTCCTTTTATATTCCATTTAACGAGACCTCTCTCAGTAGCAGTGGCAGCAGTAAGTTGAATTTTGAGTAAGTCATATTCTTAACTGTTATCACTTTACCCCCACATGAAGCCTCACAAAGAAGCACACAGGACCTCCTCTTTTCCCCCACATCAATCAGCCTGCTTTGCAATCAACTACAGGCATGTACTCTAAACCAATATTTAGTTTTACCTAAGCAATACCTCAGCACCACAGTTTCCTTTTAAAAAGTAGGGGGATCTCACAAAAAAAAAAAAAAAAGCCCTAAATTAGTCAAATTCTTTTGTGCATGGATGAACAACAGGAAAGCAAAGCCTTGGGGCCTCTGGGGAGGAACCCTGTCCCTGCAGACCTACTCTGATGTGCTCGGGAGATAAGGCTCCATAGTGACACTTAAGGAAAGGCCTGCTCACATTTGAATTTCTGCATTCCTCAAGAACAATTCATGGCAATCACTAACTTTGCAGAGGAGCTACATGAAAGCTTTGGCCAATGAATGAGGGTCATCTGCTCTTTATCACAAGGGTAAACCTCATCCTGGCCAGTTTCTAACCTTTTAACCCTGTGAATTCTTAATTTGCACATGAATAATGGGATTCTTGCCAAGAGTGCAACCTTCAGCTTCCAGTTTCTAACTTTAGAAACCAAGACCTGATCTCCTTGTGTGTTCAGATCTTAAACTCTTGGACAGATTAAACTTTTTGATTTTCAAATGCAACACTAAACATTACAATTCTGAAGCAAAAGATAAGCTTATTGGCAAAACCTCTGACCAGGCAAAGTAAAAGAACATCCTCGCACCCTGCTGCTACCAGTAACTGAAGAGGGCATTTGCTTTTTTCCTCTAAAGAAAGAATGCCCATTTAATGCCTATTCTCTACCTGTTTAATATGTATAGTTCCTTCTGTACCCTGACCACAAGGTAATTTGCCTTTGCAGCAACTGCTTCTAAACAAACTTATAAGGCTACAAAATCCCCACAAGGCTTTCATTTATTTCACTTAAAATGTCTGCAACGTTCAATCAACTCATGATAGCAGGCAGGAACACTGTGAAAATGAGAGAGAAAACGAATTTTGCACATGTTATGGGCTCCAAATTATAACAATACAAATTACTGCCTAATTTCACAGCTTCACAGTAAAGATGACATTCTGAAACCGGTCAGATTGGTGCTTGACTAAAGAGAAGAGACTGCTGCATAGGATAACTTCATGTTTGACCACTAGTTAACCACTTAATCACTAAGTCAACAACACCTACTGTGATCATTATGGATCCGCTATCTCTTCCAGTTTTCTCCAACAGCCACAGAAAACCTTTCAAGTATTCAAAGAAGAAAAAGAAGCCTTTTGTCACAGTCCTACAGAGGAGCAGAGGAAGGGGGGAAAAAAAAGGGCTGCAAAACAAGAGTCTCACTCCACAGCATGCAAGCTATTGGTCCACAAGAGAAAATTAACAAAACAAAATCAAAGTACCTTTCAGGTGAAATAACATACACCTGAGAAATAAACATTTACAAAAGTTCAGTACTATCTGAATAAAACCAGATATTACCTCTGCGTTACTATGCTGTACTACATAGTGCTCTGTACTATTCCAGAAGTTCTCTGATATTGAGCATACAGCTCATCCTGCAATGTCTCTGATTTAAAGTGAATTTTCCAGTCCTACATATAGAATCCATCAGCCACTGCTTAGCTTTATGTTGGTTAACAACCAAAAACAATCATATCCACTTAAGAAGGGTTTTCTTCAGTCTAGTTAATAATGGTGTTGACACTCTGAAACATAGTGATGTGAAATTAAATGTCAAACATATTAATACATGTTTCACCATTTCACCAAAAGTACCCAAGTATTGCTTGGTCTGTCAATCCTGTACGTGAGTGAGATGCCACGATGCAACGAAACAAGTAGGCAGGTTTTTGAAATCGAGAGCTCAGAGTTTCACGCTCTTACAGCACGTGAAAACTCATCACTTACTTGGAGCCACCTGCTTCCAGGCTGGCTTTGAATGGCCCAATGTTCTGGCTCACTGAACAAGGTTTTTCACACCTTCCTGGGGTATCTTATGGACAGTTTTTACAATCAGTTCAGAAGCACGCAGAAAAAACCAAATGTCAACATTCACACAGTTTTTAATGTAAGCTAATGTACCAATTAACTAGTTACAGGTTGAATTTAGGAAAAGCTACAACTTACAACTAATGTGAAGTTTCCACAAAGGTACCAGTACCACAAGTTTTGTGCAACTTGCTACTAAGAACAGGGTTGAAGAGGTCAAAGGAAGTCTCTTCCTATTAGATTAAGTTCATCAGTTAAGTCCTATTATAGAGGGAACATGAGAAGACTACATAAACTGTGTACTTTCTATGTTATACTTTCTTTGAAATGAAAGTTTTCTTTACTTTGAGAAAATTTACTTTTCTTTGAAAAGTACATTCCCATGTACTTTTGGGAAGCAAAAGGTGATGGTGTTGTAGAAGCAGTCTAGTGGCAAAGCTCTGCACTGCCATGGAAAGAGGCACAGGATTCAGTTCCTAGCACACATCTCTTGCTCAATATGTTTAAAGGTGGTAGGAAAACAGAGGGCAACAAACACCCGGGGTCAGACTGTTAAAGCCATAAAGGCACTTAGACACAACTATTTCCTTCACCATTCATCCAGCAGTCCGGAGTCACTCTAGAAATGTGACTCTCACTTCCTACTGGAACCACGTAACAGGCCCAAAAGGGACAGCACCCGCATCTGCTTGGCTGAACACACGTGCCAGAAAAGCAAGGCCTTGGAAATATAAGCCTCACAGTTGCCCAGAAAACCTCTCCCCTCTTTTCTCTCCCAAAGATAGACAATCATTCTGCCCTGCCCCGAGATGGCACAACACATCAAGCTACTGAACAAGGAATTTTTTTTATTTTTTTTATCAGATCTGTAGATAACCCTTGTAAGGCTGCCAGAACAGCACTTGGGAAACAAGACCCATGACATCTGTAGCCCGTTGTCAGCATAATTCTGCATCATCACCTGCTCCCAAGACTGGTGACACCCACTGAGCCACCCACACATGGCACCACTGCTCAAGAGGCCTCACAGGTGGCAGAGCCTCTCCTGCCACATCAGGGACCACAGTAAGTTTTTCTCATACTCTTTAAACATTGAAAAAGAAACAAAGTTTCTACAGAATTGCTCTGTACTTTTATACTTGAACTTTTCAGGTACATAATCAAAAGGATAGGTTGTTGTGTGCTGTTCAGGGAACTGCCGTCACAAACTCACAAGCAGGTTAATAAACAAGAGCTGGGACTTACTTGCTAGAGTGAGGTGGCTTTTTTGACTGAGAATGGCCCCATATTTGTTCAGAGCTAAACACTGGTAAAATCCTTCATCAGACAGCTCTCCTTTTTTTCCTTCCACCTCACTGATATACAACGAGCCATTGGATAAAGTGTAGATCCGTTCATTTTCAGACACTTTGCCTCCATTTTTCAGCCATGTAATGGTTATAGGAGCTTCACCACGGGCTTGGCAGTCTAAAACCACCGGATCCTTCCTTGAGACAGTAACGTCCTGAGGCTCTTTCACAAAAAACAGTTCGCTAAAGCACCACACTCCTGAGAGAGAGGGGGGGAAAAAAAAAAAAAAAAAAACAAACACATTTTGCCTGTAAGGACAGACGTGTAAGCAGAGACGTGCGAGTTACCAAGCGCGCTGCGAGTCATCCTCGCAGCACGAGGCAAAGCTATCGCTATCACACGCTCCGCGCTCCGAACTCGGGCAACTCCTGGGAAACTTGGTGCTGACTCCAAGCGGCGCGGAGCCATCGGGCTGTAAAACGCCGCGGCGTTTGCCCGCTCGTTTTCAAACGCGCTGCGCCCCGGAGAACCAGCGCCCTCAGCACCGCCGCGGCCCGGGAGATGCCCCCGCAGCGGCGGGGCGGCCGGGCAGGTGCGGCCGCTCGCCGATTTTACGAGGCTGCCAACGGAGCCGGAGAGGGGCGCGTCGTAAAAAGGCTGATTTTACAAGGAATCGCCAGCCAAAGCCCCTCGCCGGAGCGCGGAGGGTCCGCCCGGCGCTCCTCCCGCCCCGTCTGCGCGGCGCGAACAAAGCGCGGGGGCCGGGGCCGGTTCCCGCTCCCTCCCCGGCCGGTCCCAGTTCCCGCTCCCTCCCCGGCCGGTCCCGCCGGATAAATAAAGCCACGTGCGGCGGCGCCGGGGCTCGGTCGGACAATGGCTCGGCCGGGCTCACCTGGCAGCAGCAGCAGCGGCAGCAGCAGCGGGCGGAGCGGCGCCATTCAGCGGGACGCGGCGGGCATGCCCCGCCGGCCGCCCCACACACCGGTCAGCGCCCGAGGGGAGGAGACTGCGCACGGACGGAGCGGCCCCGGCGCGCCCGTCCCGGCCCTACTCTCCGCATCCCGTCTCCATTGGCCTTTGGGGATGAGAGGGGCGAGGGGCAGGGCCGGGCGGAGGAGGGAGGGAGGGCTGCGGACGGGGCGGGCCGCGGGGCGGGGGTCGCGGCGGACAATGCCCCGGAGCGGGGGGCGGCGGGACCGGCCGGCCCCGAGAACGAGGGGCTGTGGGAGCCGGCGCCATCTGGGCCGAGCGCGGGGCCGGAGATGCGGCTTCTCCCGGACGGCACCGGGACCCGACGGCAGCTCCCCGGTGCTGAGCTCCCCCAGCCGAGCAGGAGCTGTTTGCTGGCCGTGCCTTCCCCGAGCACCGGCAACACGTGCGCTTGGCCAGACCCGGCCGTGCCAAAACCGGGGCTGCCCACCCCGAGCACCGAAGCGGGGGTGCCACCCCGCGCACTCGACCCCGCAGTGCCCGTGGTGTCCAGGCGTGCCGGAGCACCCTCACGCCCAGGTGAAACTGGCTTTCCCCATGCACACAGGAAAACGTTCGAATGTCAGGATGGGCGTTCGTAAGAAATGAAAAGCCGATTATGTTAGTGGTTCTCACTAACCCCTTCCTGCAGCCCCGATAAATGCAACTCCAGATGGCCATGCAGGACAGCGCTCTGCTGCCGAGGATGAGCTGTTCTTTACTTGCCTCCTCAAAAAAGAGCCCGAAGTTTACCTCTGCCTCAAGTCCGAACTAGCCTGCCAAAATGCAACCTAAATTGCAAACGTATGGCTTGAGAATCATACTTCACCACCCTCTGGATAATGTGCGTGGGGAGATACCATCAAATGCTGCCGCTATCATTTAAGCTTTCAGTCTCACCCCTGATTTTACTCCATGCTTGCAGCCGCTGATTTCTAAGCTCTTTTTTTGTCTGTTTAGAGTTCTAGTTTCTAAAGATACCATGTAGGAAGGCATCTTCTTACTCAGCAGATTTGCCCCCTGTTTGCATTCATTGTGAGAGCTGCTGACTTCAGTGACAGGCAAGTTTTTACTGCTTTTTGTTCCTGCCAGCACTGCAAAGCTCACTGAGTCGGGAGCTGGCAGCCAAACCGGTCCCTTCTGCTGCATCATCACCGGGACTGGCTACAGCCTTAGTCAGTGACTCCTCTGAAAGTCTTTGGGAGAAAATCAGAACTACCAAAACGTGACGTAAGCCATAGTCTGACCTACATCACCTTCCTCACTTGTCAAAAATACCTGAGCAGAAGAATTCATCTTGCTCTGATTTTAGCTGGAGTTTTCAGGAAAGGTAATTAGGAAATATTTGATTTACATGCAAAGCATTTACCCAAAAGGTATCCAGGCAGTTTCACAGTCGCTTGGCAGAGCAGGACTGCACACAAACAAAGGACCAAATACAGCAACAGGATCCACCTGATCCAGTTATTTTTCAATTTTCCTCGGTGTTTTAATTTGTCTAGTCAGAAAAGTGTGAACTGTGAAAATAAAGTATCACCTACAAGCAGTTTTGTTTATATTATTTTTCAGCATTAATGATTAAAGGTTCATTCTTTCTTGTGGCAAATTCACAACTTCCATCTGTAGCTCGTGCTGGTACTTTACTCTCTCCTGCTAAATTCTGGTTCATCAGTGTGATCTGAGTTTGAGATTTCCAACATGACCTCAGCATATCTAGAAGACAAACACAACGACAGGGAATGCAGTACCTGGTAACTTTTCTAAGCTGTGTGCTTTGGTCCTTTGGTGGAGTGGCTGGGACTGTCCCTGGGAAGATGTAATTTCTCTGCAGACCTTTGCATTGCCTCCTGCAGGCATGAGTCTGGGTGGCTGAGCTGTACTGCCCAGCACTGGACACTACCCCTCCTTGCCCAATTCACTAGCCCTTTTTCAAGAGTTGGTCTCTGTGGAAGAGGGGACAAAAAAAGCCAACAGAGACAGAGCAAGTTGTAGTCCTGTCCTGCTTGTGAACTGGTTTGCATTAGCTGTGTCCTCTGTGCTCATGTTTATTCTGGTGTGATGGGGAAACCTCTTTACCATCTCTCTGGACTATACTGTGCCAGCAGGAGTTTTTGCCTCGTGAGATCAAATGCAATATTTGTCCTAAGTGGCTTATCAAAGAAAGTGCTTCCCAGTGGAGCGCTCCTTGTGCCTGGGTCTGGGCAGCTACTAACATTTTCATTTGCACATTTCTGTTTAACAAAACAAGTAATAAAATCCCTATTAGAATTATGGAGTTCAATAACTAGCTAAGCATAAACTCTCCCTGTTTAATTTGTCAGAATTCATTATTTTAACACATTTTCCAGTAATTAATTGGGTTAAAGATAGTGCAGACTTGTGATAACATATCTAAATTCATACTTAGCTGATAAAGTCATTAAACCACAGTTCAAAGGCACTGTCAATTGTAACTTTGTCAAATACACCTTGTTAGTAAATATGCAGCCAATGAACACAACTGTCTACTTGGCCAACCATTTCAGAAGCATTATCTTGAGAAAGCCTGAAAGGCAGTCCAGGAGTACAAGATGTTGCCAGCCAACATAAACAAAGCTATGCCTACTTTGCTGCAGGGCAGCAATTTTTCTTCTGTCACCAAGACAGACTTTTTGTGCTTGATTCAATCTGTATTTTTGGCTATGCAAACTCCCCCAGTTTTTATGGTTCTTTTCAGACTTGCATAAACCCTTTTCTATGCTTTCTCTTGGATTTTGGGGTCTGCAAACAAGCTGCAAACATCTTTCAGAGAAATAATAACTTGTAATACTTGAGCAGTCAGCTCCTCAATGTCTTAAAACCCAAATCAGTAGTAAGAGCTCTCTTTGAAGTGCTACCAGCAGCTGGAATAACAGCATGCTGTCCAGGTTGCTGTCTGTAAATAACCTGATTTTCCTTATGCTGCATTTCAGCCTCAGCCCTGGCCAGACCAGTTTATATTTTTCCTGAAAAGAAAGATTTAAAAACTCTGATTGACATGAACAGATCTAACCCTGGGCTTTTCTCCATCCTCTGCTGCCTGTGTATAAGGGCAGCTGGCATTCAGGACTACTAAACTGGGCTGGGGCTATAAAATCCAAAATTTTGGTACCATTATGAACCAGAGAGAGGGATTTTCCAAATGAGTGAAATCTCATGATCATGGTGTTTGTACACTTCATCTAAAATGTTACCAACATCTCTAGAAAGTGAACTGGTAGGCAGGAGTCCTCCCTGGGATGGAACACAGCAGCCTCAGGAAAAGGAAGAAGCTGAAGGTTCACTTGTAGCTCAAGTTTCACAAGGTGAACTCTGTACTTAGGAGATCGTTGCAGCCACAAGCCCAGGGTGGAGAATGCAGTTTCTTCCCAGGTTACAATAAGGTATTTCTTTTCATTTACATATCTTTCAGCATCTTATTCCTCCCTGAGAAAAAGAATAGCACCATGTTATCTCTCTTATCCCTGTGGTCTGGGAAAAGCTGTCACAGCAGCATGGATGGTGTTTGGCATGGCCACAAACTGCCTGAGCTGGGCTCCCGTGTGCTGCCACGTCCCACCCGATGGAACAAGCACAGAGATGGGAAAGTTGCTTTGCCCACAAGATCCATTCTCCACGTTTGGCTTCGCATTGCTCTGCTCTAACAGCATAATGTTGTGGCACAGAAAAGGATAGGGATGAACACCCCTGGGTGGGAAGCAGGAGAGCTGGGGAGAGAGCTGTTTATGGCAGTGTGAGTGTCCCCACTGGCATATGTACAATCACAGCACTATCCTCAGTTAGCTGTAGCCTACAGGAGGTGGTGGTAGGGTCCTAGAGCCCAAATCCATTTTCAAACTGACATATAATCATCACCTTGGTCTCCCCCCACAGGCTCAGCCCTTCCTTGCTACCAGTGCCACCTCACCCTGCTGGCAGGAGCTGCCAGGTGTCACTGCTGCTGTGAAGGAAGCTGTAGCTACAGACACCCAGGGTGGAGGAGAGGTACCATCACCAGGGCAGCTTAGCGTGGCTGCAGAGGTATTGGAGCTGCAGTGCTTTTCCAGGGCAGGCTGAGAGCAGTGGTAATTGCCAGAAACCCATTAACTGCAGGGGAATTACAGCAATTTGCACCAGGCAGCTCTGCCTTCAGACAGTCGAGTCCTCAAAGCCCAGCGGAGGGGCTGCCACGACGCTGCTCTCCTGGCAGGGTGTCATTAACTCTTCTTCTCAGGGAAGCCTCTTTTGTCTTTACAGTTCTTGCTCTGAGTGTTTTTGATCTGGTGTCACTATAAGCATGTTTAGACACTTTCTTGTTTCTCATGCCAAACTCCTGGCCCAATTACAACTGTATTCACAGATTTTCAGTGTGTTATGCTAAGTCTATTAAGACCCACCATACAAATGTTGACTTTTGGCACATTTGGTCACTTAGTAGGTTCTTGCTTCATTTTGAACCTGTGTACAGTTACTATCTCCATTGCCTTCTCAAAGGAGATTCACTCCTTCCATGAGCAGATGGGCAAACACACTTTGGGCTGAGCCCTTGGGATGCTAATGAACTTTCTCTCCAGGGAGCCTTCCTGCACAGGAAAAGCACACCCTGACAAAGGGATTTTAACACAGATCTCATCTGGTTATAAACCAACAAACACCAAAGGGGAAGGAATACCATTATTTGCTACACTAAGCATTTTTTTCCCTTCCAGCCACCTTCCACAACAGTGCTCCACTGGTCCAAATCAGTGGGTGCACCTTGGCCAGGTTGTTTTAGAGTGCCCAGAGGCAGCCACCAGATGTTTACCCTCAACCCTGAAGGCTCAGCACACCAGAATGAAGAAGAACCCTGCCATGGATTTCAGTAGGAGAAAGACAACACCCCAACATCCTTCCCTGCTGCTGGAGGTAACCACAGGCAGTTTGGAAGAGCCAACTTCACAGGGATTTGGCAAAGTACATTCCCTCATTCTCCCATGCCCACTTCCACAGCACC